TGTAACCATTTTAAACAGTAATAGCTAGGAATTGCAATTTTCTCTGTTCTTCAACCCACAGGAATAAATTGTTTCCAGAAACCACTATCAGAAATATCATGTTTCAGATACTTCAAGGGCTTGCTTTTGTACACAAATATGGTAAGATTTTTAAACAGTAATGTTTGTATTTGTTTGATCCGCACGAAACAAACCTTTGTTGTACATTATGCAAGCAGGGATTCACAATGGTTTCTTCATAAACTACAAAGGTACTGCATTCCAGTGCTTGCAAGAATACTTGACTCATTTGAAATCTAAAAGAGACAGAGGTGAATGAAATACATGCAGGCTTTAGACCTAAATCTACCTTTGCATATTTAAAAATAATCTGTTTACCTCAATCTTTCTTGATTGCTATCCCATCCTGCCAAAATTGTTCAAGTGTATGAATATTTTATTCATTATAATTGTTAATGTTGAGTACCTTACTTACAGTATGCTAGGCTTCCAACCTCTTATAGTTCCTAAAAGAAGCAGCCTATCAATTGCTAGAGTTGGCTGAGTTAGAGAATATAAAAGAGGTTGTTTTTTTTTTTTTTTCCCCCCAGCCATCTTCCAGGACAGCACGTGAGATGTGGAGCTCCTCCCCTTAGACAGGAAACACATGGTCACTATAGGATTTTAAAGGTGGTTTTTCTAAACATCCACTACAGTTATTGTGGAAGGAGGATTAGAGGACTTTGTCCCACAGTGGAAAATTATCACATCCAGCAGTTTATAGTCTGGATCTCGTAGAACATGGGTACAATCTGAAGTTCGTCTGCTAGCCACCATCAAGATTCTTAGGCTGCATTCACACTTGAGCGTTTTGTAGCATGAAGCTCCAAAATCGCTCAAACTTCAAAAATCAGTTGTTCTTTATGGTGCCTGTTTGCACGATCAGGTGTGAACAGGCACCATAGAGAACAACTGATTTTTTTAAGTTTGAGCATTTTTGGAGCTTCAAGCTACAAAACGCTGAAGTGTGAATGCAGCCTTAGTGATAGAGTTTCAAAAAGATCGGCAAGCTAGTGGATCATAAGTTACTGATTCAAGTACCAAGGCTACAAAGAGTGTCAACGCACACTACTGCAGCCCATGCATTATGCCATGTTCTTTCCTTCCTCCGCTGGTGGAAGGAAAGTAAATCCCCATCAACACAGTCCTGGTCGGCAGAATCCAATGATTACTGCTAGCGACTATAGCTACCAGCAGTAAAGGCATGCAAAAAAATCAGATTACCTGGTTGTACCCAAGTCTGTCAAAGGAATGCCTTGGGTACAACCAGCCTGCCCATAGAGGAATCGAATCTCGGCTGGTCCCTGCTGAACCGGCCAAGATTCAATCAACCTATGGCTGACTTTAGAGGCAGCTCTACTGTGGAGATAGCCCATTTAAATTCATTACCTACAGGTGCCACAGAGCTCTGTGCAGTAGGCAAAGCGATACAGGTTTTCCAGGAGGTCATCAGAGGTTAGCATCTTCAATATAACCACAGTAGCCTCTGTCAGGGAGGAAACCAGAGTCCGACTTTAATGTCTTTAGTTTAGAGCATCTTTCAGGATCTAGTAGATAATTTAGGTCAGCCCATAGTAAGTCTGTTTGCTGCCAGAAGGGATGCCAAGACATATCTCTACTTTTCCATGAGTCGAGAAGGGGAATCCTTGGGAGTGGACGTATTGCAGAATCCATGGCCTTTGTTATGCGTTCCCACCTAACTCAAGTCCTCTAAAAGTTCCTGCACAAAGAAACAAGTCTTATTCTCATACCCTTTTTTGGCCGAAGTGAGCATGGTTCATGCTTCCTCACTCTAGGGGATTTCCCCCCTTGGGTTCTTCCTCTCATAGAGGATCTAGTTTCTTCAGGGCAAGATCTTCATCTTTATGTTCACAAGTTGAAGGTTCTGAGGAGGACATCCTAAAGCATGGGTGTCAAACTGGCGGTCCTCCAGCTGTTGCCAAACAGGGAATTTCGGACAGAGTGATTAATACTCCAGTTGACAGTCATAAACCATTCACCAGAGCCATTTATGGAAAAATCTGGAATAGATTCAAGTCCTGGATAAAAGCAAATTAGGTTTTTTTTTGTTTGGTTTTTTTTATGATATACCGTACCTATAGTTTTGGAATTCATGTAAGATAGGGCAGACCAGGGATTAGCCCCTAGCACCTTTTTTAAAAGTGGTTGTAAACCTCAAACATGAAATTTGAACAAAGCATATCCGTCTATATTGTGTACATGTCTCAATTAAGAGAGCTAAGTGTCATTTCTGTCTGCTGCTTTGTTCCTCTATCAGCATGAGTCACTTCTGACAAGTTTTCCTGACACCAAGAGAAAAAAGGGGAAGGAAGCATTAGCAGATTGATAGCCTCAGTCCTGTTCCTGTGAGTTGTGTGGATGGGAGGGTGTCTGTTTCCTCCAATCAGCTCTCAGAACTCTTCTCTCTTAATTCTGCAGAGTGTAACTTCAGCTCTCCAACAAGTACTTTGAATGAACGTACAGTAATACCTCGGTTTAAGAACGCCTCGGTTAAAGTAATTTTCGGTTTACAAATGAAAATCCACTGAAAATAATGCCTCAGTTTACAAATTTTGTATGAATTTTTTTCGCAATACGAAGTGTATGTCAGTGCTGATTTTTAAATGCAATTGCTGGCTCTTTTTTTTTTTTTTTCTTCACTATAGCTCACAGAATTAGCTGTCACTTTCCCCAAAGTTAACGAAAATGTTGTTTCTAAACGAAACTAAAAAGAAACATTGGTTGCCCCCCCCCCCCCCCCTTTCCTGACCCGCCAGGCTGCATGCTCTGAAAAGGGTCTGGTATGGATTTTGGGGAGGGCCCCCACACCATTTTGTTTTTAAATTTTGGCGTGGGAGTTCCCCTCAAAATCCATACCAGACACGAAGGGCTTGGTATGGATAGGAAGGGGGACGCCACGCAGTTTTTTTTAAATTATTTTTTTAATTGCCGGCAATTCTTTTACATTCAGCTGTCAGTGGGGAACCCCGCTGACAGTTGAAATATTAACACATGGTTGTCACTACTAAAATGCTGCATGACTTGATAAAATAACTTATGCGGTATTTATTAGTGTTTACTTTTTTCTGATCTCCAGAACAGATTAATTGGTTTCCAGTGCATTCCTATGGGAAACGGCGTTTCGGTTTAAGAATTTTTCGCTATAAGAAAAGTCCTGCAGAATTAATTAAATTCTTAAACCGAGGTATTACTGTACTGTAAAGAAGTGAAGACTGCAGATAGACAGGTACAACTTACAGTTAGGTCCATATATATTTGGACACAGGCAAAATTCTAGTTTTTTTTCAGGTATTTACCAAAACATATTCAAGCTATAGTTATATAATGGATATGGGCTGAAAGTGCATACTTTCAGGTTTAATTTGAGGGTATGTACATCCAAATTGGAGGAAGGGTTTAGGAATTACAGCTCTTAAGAATAGCCCCCCCCCCCCCCGTTTTTCAAGGGACCAAAAGTAATTGGACATATTAATATAATCATAAATAAAATTTTTATTTTTAATATTTTGTTGAGAATCCTTTACTGGCAGTGACTGCCTGAAGTCTGGAACCCATGGACATTACCAAAGACTGGGTTTCCTCTTTTCTGATGCTTTGCCAGGCTCTAACTGCAGCTGTCTTTAGTTGTTCTTTGTTTGTGGGTCTTTCTGCCTTTAGTTTTGCCTTCAGCAAGTGAAATGCATGCTCAATTGGGTTGAGATCAGGTGATTGACTTGGCCATTGCAGAATATTCCACTTCTTTTCCTTCAAAAGCTCCTGAGTTGCTTTTGCAGTGTGTTTTGGATCATTGTCCATCTGTACTGTGAAGCGACGTTCGATCAACTTTGCTGTATTTGGCTGAATGTTGGCTGACAGTATATCTCTAAACACTGAAGAATTCATCCGACTGCTTCTGTCTTCTGTCACATCAATAAACATCAATGACCCAGTGCCACTGGAAGCCATGCATGCCTATGCCATCGCACTGCCTCCACCATGTTTTACAGATGACATTGTGTGCTTTGGATCATGAGCTGTTACAAGCCTTCTCAACACTTTTTTCTTCCCATCATTCTGGTACAAATTAATCTTTCATCCATCCAAAGAATGCTTTTCCAGAACTGGTCTTGCTTTTTTAGATTTTTTTTTTTTGCAAAGTCGAAACTAGCCTTTTCTATTCTTCAGGCTTATGAATGGTTTGCAGCTTGTGGTGAACCCTCTGTATTTGCTCTTATGAAGTCTTCTCTTGATTGTAGACTTTGACAATGATACACCCACCTCCTGGAGAGTGTTCTTCACCTGTCTGGTTGTTGTGGGTTTTCTTTACCATAGCGAGGATCCTATGATCATCTGCCACTGTTGTCTTCCGTGGACGTCCATGCCTTATGTTGCTGAGCTCACCAGTGCGTTCTTTGCTCAGAATGTACCAAACTTTTGATTTGGCCACTCCTAATGTTGCTGCTATCTCTCTCATGGATTTGTTTTGTTTTTGAAATCTTACAATGGCTTGTTTTATTGCATGGACAGTTTCTTTGAATGCATGATGTTGGTTCACAGCAACAGATTTCAAATGCAAATGCCACACTTAGAATCAACTCCAGACCTTTTATCTGCTTAATTGATGAAGAAATAACAAAGGGATAGCCCACACCTGGCCATGAAACAGCTTTTGATTCAATTGTCCAATTACTTTTGATCCCTTGAAAAAAGGAAGGATGGCTACTCTTAAGAGCTGTAATTCCTGAACCCTTCCTCCAATTTGGATGTACATACCCTCAAATTAAACCCCAGAGTGTGCACTTTCAGCCCATAACCATTATATAACTATAGCTTGAATATGTTTTGGTAAATACCTGAAAAAAAAACTAAAATTGTGCCTGTGTCCAAATATATATGGACCTAACTGTATGTAGGAGGATTTGTTTCATCTCTGTGTATTACCTGTCACTTCACTGGGTATATGTAAGAGTTTACAACCACTTTAAAGATTCAAGTTGCAGCTGTTATTACAGGAAGATTCTCTTATTGTGAGGTTTGTTTCGAGCCACCAAGGAAGAAACCGGCTAAGACCAGAAGTTGCCCAAGTTGGGACCTATCCCTAGTCTTAAGGGTTATAAGTACTGTAAATCCCATTTTGAGCCTGTTTTAGAGTCCACTCTTAAGAGCCTCACCTTGAAAAAAGTGCTTTTGATATCACTTCTGTTCGCCAAATTATTGAGCTTCAAGCACTGTTGGTTGGAAAACCTTTTCTTCACTATCCTTGTCTTTTCACAGCAGGCTAAAGTTGTTGTTCTACCTACTTTTTCGCAAGGATTCTGCTAATGACAACAGGGTTTTAGATGTAAGAAGATGCTTAATATCCTACTTAGAAGCAACCAAACATATTTGTTCTTCGCAGGCTCTCTTCCTGCTCTTTGCAGGAAGTAGAAAAAATTCAACAAGCTTCAAAGCTTACTTTGGCAAGGTGGATTAGACAGGCTATTTTGGACTCCTACAAGTGCATAGAAGACCCTCCTACATGGGTTAATGCACATTCCACAAAAGCATTGCAGCATCATGGTTGAAGAGATGGTGCCACCCCAGTACAAATCCGTAAGGCTGCAACCTGGTCTTCTTTTTCCACTTTCATTCACCATTACCAGTTGGGCATATTAATTAATTAGGATCAGGCTTTTGGGCATAAGGTCCTCCAAGAAGTGGTCCCTCCCTAAAATGGTAAGTTCTCGGTTATCATCTCATGGACTTTTTTGAAAGACGACTGGGGGGGGGGGACCAGAGTTAGACTTACCAGTAACTCTATTTCCAGTAGTCTTCCAGGACAGCCGACTTCCTGCACTTTTGTTCTATAATGGTATCTTGTGATGTTTTGCAGTTTTGGTCTACAGTTCTCTGTTATACTAACGTGGATGCCGGGAGGACTGCCTTTTAAATCCTATAGTGGCAATGTGTTTCCAGTCTTTTGCGGGAGGAGCTACACATCTCATGGGCTGTGTAGCTCTAACTCTGTTTTTTTTTATTTACTGCGTGAGGCTTCTGCATCACAGAGCATCTGGATTTCAGACTTGTTTAGACTGTCATACAAAAGCCTTTGAAAGTGCTTTATAAACAAACATTTTATATACGATATTAAATAACACATCGTTATTGCACATATTGTGAACTGTTCACATTCACTAATATTAATGTTGTTTACAGGGTTCTTTCACAGAGACCTAAAACCTGAAAACCTTCTTTGCATGGGTCCAGAGCTTGTTAAAATAGCAGACTTTGGACTAGCACGAGAGACGAGATCAAGACCCCCTTATACCGATTATGTGTCAACTAGATGGTAATCCTAGTTTAGCAAGATACAAACAGTCTTTACCTCTGATAGAAGTGCACAAATATAAGATACACTGATGGTGCTATTGTGCTATATTTACAGGTACCGAGCTCCTGAAGTGCTACTTAGATCTACAAATTATAACTCTCCCATCGATGTCTGGGCTGTTGGCTGCATCATGGCTGAAGTTTATACTTTACGACCTCTCTTCCCAGGCTCCAGTGAAATAGATACAATATTCAAGATTTGCCAGGTTCTAGGGACACCTAAAAAGGTATGACCTGGTTTTGTATTATTGTAGGTCACTAACTTCAACTATGTACATTTTAAAAGAGAAGTATGGGAATAGATTTTTTTTTTTTAATCATACTTAGCCAGGTGGATGCAGCATTGATCCGATGCTGCATCTGTCCCCTGCTGACTCTAAGAGTGAGAAGTGAGCGGTCAGACATCTCTGATCACTCAGTTCTCCTTGCCGCTCTGAGCAGAAAGTAGTGACTGTTAGTCACCACTCTCTGCTCTCCCCAGTGTTAGTCACCGCTCTCTGCTCTGCTCCCCCCAGCGCTCACTGGGGCACTGGGCTGTGAAGGGGTGTGAGCGGTTAGCTCATGCTCTCAGTAGCTCACTGAGTGGCTGAGCCAGGTACCAGTCTAGACATCTGGATGGATGCCAACTTTAGAGCCGGGATCTTTCCCCAGCCTTGACCCTGCTGTCGGCTGACATTAGGTCACAGAAGTGTAGAACAAACTGCACTCCTGTGATCCACAGAAGTACAGCCAAACGAGCTTTGGCTGTACTTTTCTCCTTTTAAACATGTACTGTATAAGAAGTAAACACTTCCTGCCTAGCCAAGGTGGTTTATAGCTTAAGAATCTTTCTATTTTTGCTTGTGCTCCTGGAGCATACCTAAGGTCTAGTACTGTTCCTTCGAGAATCATGGACTTTAATCAGATCCTTTTGGAAAGCTGTGAGCAAGAATGGATGGTACACGAGCCTTGCTAGGATAAGGAGAAGAATCCTTGGAGTTTTGCCTGTAATGCAGCCTTATGGCGCTGGACCCCGCGGAGATGAATCCCTGTGCAGTTTTAAATTTGACCAAGTTGCTTTCCAGCAGGGTGCTATACGGTTTTGAAACAATGGCCCCACATTATGGGGACCAGGCCTTCTGTATGACAATGCCCACCATGATGGGTGAAGTTTAGTGCCTGGTGGAAGTCAGGGACCTGTGGCGGGACTGGTAAGCTATCTCTTTTTTTTCTTTCTGAAAGGGAAAAACAAAGCTCAAATTTGGACGGAAAAGTATTGTTTGGTGCAATTGGCCAAATTTGCCACCAGGGGGAGTGGTCACAACATTAAACCTGGAACATGCTTGCCTGTTGGTTCTATTTGGGGCCACTAGAGGGAGCGTTCTTTGTCCCTAGGATTGCGGGACACGTACACAGCAGGGTGCGCACGCATGATCAGTAGTGGCTGGAAACAGAAATCGCCCATGTTTATCTGTCAGGAGGCCTGGGCACACGTGGGCTAATGCCACTGGTGGATTTCTGTGGCCGGGACACAGATCAGGCTATTTAGTGGGGCACATGAGTATTCCTCTGAGGGTTAAGGAACGTTGGCCAATCATTCAGGAGCTGCCTTTTGGTGGCCCGTGAGGTCAGCAATTTGCACTGAGTGTTTTCTTCAGCACACTACTTGCATAGCTGTATATTGTGGTCTGTGTTTTACTATTGGAGGTGCACAGGTATTTACGCTAACTGAAGTAATGTCTTCCAGAAAGCGGAGTGGGGGAGACACAGCAGGGAGGGGCACTAATGTAGCACCGCTAGGTCCTGAGAAACCTAGCCAAATGTCTGCTGTAGTATCCTCTCCTAAGAGTGCAGAAGTGAATGGGCAATCTGAGCCACTGCGCTGGCATTGTGATTACTACTGGGGCATCTGCCTCAGCATATGTAACCAAGGATGATCTTGCTTCAGCCTTAGTGGGTTTAGAGGGTAAGATTGCAGGGATGATTGTGTCTGTTTCTCACAGGACTAAGAAGTGGGAGAGATCCCCGGCACTAGAACCACCAATTCCTGGAGCAGGAATGGGTGGAACCTGAGAATGAAGAACAACTGGAGGGAGTTCAGGCAGTATAGTCTCTGTCTGAAGGTTCACAGCCTGAGGAGAAACAGGTGGTCTCTGCCTCCCAATCTCAGAGATGTTTAGTCCAGGACCCCACTGATATGGTACGATCTGGATTCAGGCTGCCTCCGATAGAAACCTCTGAGGTTACTTATTCTTCTCTGGGCTCTTTGAAGCCTCCACAGAGTACTCAGGCATTTCCAGTGTATCCTCTTCTGGTAAATTATGTATTCTGACTGGGATCACGCAGTCAGGGTTTTTGTTCCACCAAAGAGGTTTTCTTGTTTGTACCCCATGGAAGAGAAGTTTGTTAAGAAGTTGGTTATGCCTGTAGTGGATGCAGCTGTTTCATCCTTGAATAAGCCTTTAACGTGTCCTGTGGATAATGTCCAGGTTTCTAAGGATCCAGTGGATAAGAAACTGAGTCTGGCAGGTTCTGTCACACAGCCAGCAATGATAGCTATTGGCATTTACCAGAGACTTTTCTGACCATGTCAAATGACTGCTTGGAAGACCATCAGTGCAGGGGAATACTCAGCCGAGGATTTGGAGGATGTTCCATGTACTTTTGTTTTGCAGTTGATGCTCCTAAGGATCCAATTTAGCTATTTAGCACACAGGTCCCAGCCTCCAGGAGTAGATCTCAGAATCAGAACCTGAGGAGGCCCTGGGTGCAAAAGTAATTCAAGGCAGATCCAAAGTCTGCCTCCTGAAGGGGTGCCCCCAATCGTACGGGTAGGGGGGGGGCTTTTGAATTTTGTAGCTGCCTGAAGGGCTCTAATCCAAGGCAAGTGGGTCAATTCCACAATTTCTCTGGGGTACAGACTAGAGTTTCTGGTATCCCAACCCCCCCCCCTCTCTGGTTTCTATCAAATGTACCGATGAATGAAGAGAAGAGCTTTTACAGGCACACGATCCCCTATTGTGTCAGGGGTGATCACGGAGGTTCCAGCAGACAAAAGGTTTCAGAGGTTTTATTCAAACCTGTTTACAGTTCACAAAGCCAAATAGGGATATAAGGCCCATTTTGGACCTCAAGGGTCTGAATCAGTTTCTAAATGTCCGGTCTTTTCATATGGAATCAGTTCGGTCAGTAGTGGCCTCTTTACAGGAAGATTAATTTTTAGATTTTTAGCGTCCATAGACATCAAGGACACATACCTACATGTGCTTATATTCATTCCTCACCAAAAATGTCTCCGGTTTGCATTAGGGGCTTTGCATTACCAGTTCATAGCAGTACCATTTGGGCTGGCTATGTCTCCCAGAGTTTTCAAAAAAATTCTTGCGCCGGTGTTGGGGCTGCTCAGAACTCAGGGGGTATCGGTCATAGGTTATCAACCCCTGTTGCTCAGAGGTCGGTCGGTTCTAGGGCTGAAGCAGGATGTGGTTCTGACGATGCAGATCCTGGAACAGCTGGGCTTGGTGCTCAACTTCGAGACGTTGGCCCTGGAGCCAGTACATAGCCTGTGGTATTTTGGGATGGTCCTAGACACAATTCAGGCAAAGGTATTTCTGCCTCCAGGGAAACGTTGCGCTCTGAGGAACAAAGTTTGCAGTTTAAGGGCCAAGAGGTATCCTTCAATTTGCCTCTGTATGAGGTTCCTGGGGAAGATGGAGGCAATTCTCTATGCCCAATTCCACTCCAGACCTCTGCAAAGGAACATTCTGACTGTTTGGAACAAGAAGGTTCTGGCACCGGATTAGCGTATGTCTCTCTCTCCCGAGGTAATGCGAAGCCTGAATTGGTGGTTGATGACTTACAATTTGGAGAGGGGGAGATCCTTTCAGCCGGTGGTGTGAAAATTGGTAACCACTGATGCCAGCTTCTCAGGTTGAGGGGCTGTCCTGGAGGAGGCCACAGTTCAGGGAATGTGGCTTCCATGGGAGAGGATCAATGTTCTTGAGCTCCGGGCAGTGAGGCTCACTCTAAGGTATTGGACATCCAGGCTTCAGGGTTGGCCTGTAAGGATTCAGTCTGACAATGCCACAGCAGTGGCATACATCAACCACCAGGGCGATACCAGGAGTCAAGGGGCTCAGAAGGAGGCGAATTACATTCTGACCTAAGCAGAGAGATCTTTTCCAAGTTTGTCAGCAGTGTTCATTCCGGGGGTGGAAAATTGGCAAGCAGATTATCTCAGTCGCCGGCAGTTGATTCCAGGGAAATGGGCTTTGCATCTCGAGGTTTTTTAAGGTAGTCTACCGGCGATGGGGTTGCCTGGATATAGATCTATTGGCATCCAGGTTCAACAACAAGGTTGGTCTTTTTGTATCCAGAGTAAGGGACCCTCGAGCGGCAGAGATAGATGCATTGGTGCTTCCTTGGAACCAGTTTTCACTGATTTTATGCTTTTCCTCAGATTCAGTTGCTGCCACGTGTTATACAGGATTCGGGAGTCTTTTCTGGTGATGCTGATTGCCCTGATCTGGCCCAGGAGGGCCTGGTACACGGACATGTTGAAGATGGCAGTGGATGGGCTGTGGTCCCTGCCATGTCAGCCATACCTGCTGTCTCAAGGAACTATATAGCACCCAGCTTCATGGTTGCTAAATTTTGATGGCATGGCTATTGAGACCCAGATCCTGAGGAATAGGGGAGTATCGGATTCTGTCGTCTTCATTATGTTGAGCGCTAGAAAGGTAGCCTCTGGGAACATTTATTATAGAACTTGGAAGGCTTACATTTCCTGTTGTGAGGTCCAGAAATGGCACCCATAAAAATATGTGATTGGTAGGATTCTGTCCTTTCTTCAGTCATGGTTGGAGAACTTGGCTGTTGGTACCATTAAGGGCTTTCAGCTTTAGCTGTTTTTTCTCAAGAGGCCCATTGTGTCTTACTCTTTGGGTCACACCTTTTGTACAAGGAGTAATGCATATTGCACCTCCTGTTAGGTTACCTCTGTGTCTTTGGGACCTAAACTTGGTTTTGGAGGTTTTGCAAAAAACACCAATTAAACCTATCAGGGAGATTCCCCTGGTCCTGCTGTTCTGGTTTTGCATCAAGATAAGGTGGTGTTGCGATCTCAACCGACCTTTTTACCAAAGGTGGTTTCTAGTTTACATCTCAATCAGGACATCGTTCTGCCTTCATTCTTTCCTGGGCCTCAATCAGCAAGAAAAAGATCTCTGCATACCTTGGATGTGGTTCGCGCTGTAAGGGTCTTCTTGAAGGTGACGGCACAGGTCAAGAGGTCAGATGCTGTGTTTGTGTTGCCGGAGTAACCTAGGAAGGGACAGGTGGGGCATCCAAGGAGACTTTCTCATTGGATCCGCCAACTGGTCATGCAAGCCTATGGTTTGAAAGGTAAGGTCCCACCCTTTCGAGTAAAGGCCCACTCTACCAGGAATATGGGGGCATCTTGGGCAATCTACCTTCAGGCGTCAGTGGCTCAGGTTTGCAAGGCTGCTACATGGTCTTTGGTTCACACATTCACAAGGTTCTATCAGGTGGATGTCAGAGCCGCGGAAGATTCTACCTTTTGGCTGCAGTGTTTACGGATGGCTGAGTAGGTCCTGAGGGATTGATGGTGGCTTTCATGGTGTCACCCCCTCTCAAATTTTTTTATTGCTTTAGGACATCCCACATAGTCATGAATAGCCTGTTTTTTGTCCTGTGATGCACGATAAAGATAACTGGACTTTTTATACATACCTGTAAAATCTATTTCTTGGAGTACATCATGGGATACAGAGGTCCCTCCCTTCCTTTCTGGAATTCTATTGCTTGCTACACAAACTGAAGTACTTCCTGTGTAGGGGGGGGGTTATATAGGGGAGGACCTCCTCTCTGAATGGTCAGCCAGTGTCCATTTACCTATAGGTGGCATATTACCCACATAGTCATGCACAGCCTGCATTTTGTCCCGTGATGTACTCCGAGAAACGGATTTTACAGGTAAGAAAAAAATGTATTATTTTTCCCTTTCCAACATAACGGGCCCCCAAATACTGGGGTTCCAGAACATGCATATTTCAACACATTCTGGTAGTATCAAGAACACACCTACCCTTTGGGCAAAGGAACCACTTATACTCTTGGGCCTAAGGGAACATACATGTGGTAAGAAGAGTCAGATGAGCTTTTGACACTTGTCAGGACAGGTAGAAATTTACATGTTAGAATACTTCTGAATCTAGGGCACTCAGAATGCTGGGTAGGGCATCTAAGTATAGTTTCAGTGCCTTCATTGTGGTGCTGTAGCCTGTACTGCCATTCGGGTTCAGAAAGGTTTATTTTATTACTCTCTTCTATTATTGTAATATTATTTTACTTTGATGTTCTGATGCTATCATTTTCTTACTCAGACTGACTGGCCTGAAGGCTACCAGCTTGCCACTGCAATGAATTTTCGTTGGCCCCAGTGTGTTCCTAATAACCTAAAATCATTAATTCCTAATGCAAGTAGTGATGGAATCCAGGTTATGCGAGATATGCTTCAGTGGGACCCTAAAAAACGGCCAACAGCTAGCAAGGTGGGTACTGTAAGTGATTGTAACTAGTTAACTTGAGTTATTAGTATTAAATATATATTGTAAATATGTTGTAATATTCCCAGTAAAAGGGAATTTCCAGGAAAACTGAGAAATCACTGCCTTTTCTGGATTGTCCTCCTAGATTGTTCTCCTCCCCAGTTGCAGGTCTCTAGTTTTTCTTGGGACAGAGACTGATAGTCATAGACCTCACATGCAGTGCTCATTGCTAATGAAATGTAGTATTACGGCACAGCATTAAAGAGAAAGCAAACCAGTTCTTTAAAGTACATTTTTAATATCTACCAGTATTCATATTGTAAGGGAGCAAAAAAAAGAAGATCCTTGTTGGGATTTACATACATTTTAACAGCTGCTGAGATAAGATGTTGGCCACATAGAAAGTGAATTGTTTTTAACCAGGCAGCTTAAGCCACCCATAGATGGCTTGAATCTTGGCTGGTTCAGGCCGATTATACCCAAGTCGATCCATCAGTTGACTTGTGGACAACCAGCATGTTGGATTTCTAGCATACAATTACTGCCAGCAGCTATAGCCACTAGTAGTAATCACTGTGTTCTCCCGGTAAAGACGGAACTCCCCCACCCCCCCCCCGCCCCCCCCCCCCCCCCCCCCCCACTAGGCTGTGTTAACAGGGGAATCTAGAGATTTTCTTTCCTGCACCCCATGGTTGCAGGAAAGAAAATTGCGCCATTTGTGGCCTGCCTTAGACTTGCATTGTAAGAATGAGCAGTAAAACGTAACCATTGTGTAGCACTGCAAAAGGGAAAGCAGAACCTGTGTTGGTAATGAACAACTATGACTTATTTCTATGTCCATGTATAATTGAAGCTAGAAACATGTCTCTATTCATAACAACAGTTATGGCCGAATGGCAGCCGGCAAAAACCCTCACCTTTTCGGGTGGACGCCATATGGCGTCCTTTCGGGCATGTGCAGTTTGCGCGCCTGCAGAGCCACGCAGTGGCGCGATCTGTCACTGGCCGTGTACCTCGGACACGGCCGATGACAGATCTGAGTACCGGCCCCGTTGCCGGTACCAGGTGACCTGCTGTTACCAATCACAGCAGGTCACATGACAGTTGTATACAATGGATGGCTTCATTCATGTATCCATTGTATACTAGTGTGGCTAGCTGTGAATGGTCACAGTGATCACATGCACAAGCTGTGCCAATCACAGCCCAGCTGTGTCATGTGATTTAGCCAAGACCAAATCACAGCTAAGCACAAAAAAAAAAAAAAACCCTGAATAAATTTATGTCATTCAGGTAAATGCTTGCTTATAGCAAAGTAATTCTTTGCTATAAGCAAATTGTGTAAAAAAAAAAAAAAAAAATACTGATCACTTCCCCAAAGTAGTACAATGTTACTGTAGTAACATTGTACTACTTTGGTCATACTGAAATATGAAAAAAAAATATAAAAAAATGTAATAAATTAAAAATCATAAAAAAAAATAAAAAAAAACTGCACTGGTGACAGTATGTAAAAAAAAAAAAAATAGCAAATCATTTTTTAAATTTTTTCATTTTCCGTAAAATTATGACAAAAAAAATACAACTTCAAAAAACTCCCCATGCCTCTTATGAAGTACGTCGGACTGTCTACTCTGCAAAAAGGGTTCATTTGGAGGATATCTGTACTGTTCTGATATTCTTGGACCTCAAGAAATTAGATTGGCTGTCAGTACTTGACAATTAGATTGACAATTAGATTGATTAATTAGATTGATCAATATTCAGATCTATACCATAGTTTGTGAACTCTATAACTTTCCTACAAACTAAAAAATACATCCTAATTTGGGTTATTTTCACCAAAGACATGTAGCACAATTCATCTTGGCCTACATTTATGAAGAACAATTATTTATTTGCAAACTTTTATAACACAAACAAAGAAAAACGTGTTTTGTTTTTTTTTTTTTCAAAATTTTCGGTCTTTTTTTATTTAGCAAAAAATGAAAACCCCAGTGGTGATTAAATATCACCAAAAGAAATCTCTAGTTGTGTGAAGAAAATGATACAATTTTATTTTGGGTACAATGTTGTATGACCGCGCAATTGTCATTCATAGTGTGAGAGAGCTGAAACCTGAAAAATGGCCTGGGCAGGAAGGGGGTAAAAGTGCCCATATTGAAGTGGTTAAGGTGTATCTATGGCTAAAATGTAAAATCATATATTAATTTCCACCTTGAATTTCACATATTGAAGTTTGTAAACATGCTTTCTGAAGCTTCCCACACATTTCATCCCTTTAATTCTGTGACACATATTCACTATGCCCTGTGAGCAGGCACTACTGTGTCACACATTTCTCAGAGCCTGTCTTTTGAACTACAGAGGTGCTTTCAGGAGGTGAATTTAGTACAGGAATTATTGCTGGCAGGCAGCAATGTACTATGGGATATGTTGTCTAAGAAAAAGAAAGTAAATAGAGGAGGAGGAGACAGGCAGCACTCATAATATGAAACGATTTTCAAGTAAGCTTATATCATTTTTAGTGCTGGTAAAATGCTGTTGTCATAAAATCGGTGTATGCTGTGACCATAGATTTTCTTTAACATCAAGCTGTTTTTTTCATGTGTATTTAAAATTTAATTGTAAAGCGTATATTCAAGATCAACCTCATGCTTACTTACTTGTGGCTATGTGGGTTGCACCTCTTAAATACGCTTGGCTTTTTTAAATGTATTTTACAATATATACATTCCCTGCTATATTTTTCACTGGTAGGCACTCAGGCATCCATATTTTCAAGTGGGTCAAGCTCTTGGAACACCTCAAAGAATTCAAGAGTTAACAAAACCACAGAGGGACATCCAGGAGAAACCAATTCCATTACATATCAAACCTGTACCACCTGCTCAGCCTCCTCCAAAATTTAATGTTAGACTCTCAACACGAGCTCTCCAGCAAAGTCAGTCAAATGGACATCCTGTCAAAGTGAGTGCATCCACAACAGATTCTCTAGAAGGTTCACAAGAAAGAGGCTCCATCAGCCACCCACTGCTACCAGCAAGAAGCAACCAACCTCCATTTGTGAGTAACACATTTCCCGACAATTTGGGCAAATTAAAATGTTACCTATAGGAATTTTTTTTTTTAACTATTTTTATTAAAGCCAATATTGCTTGAATACAGGCCTGGACTGGGACAAAAAATAGGCCCAGGCACTTTATACTGTGTCGGGGGGAGGGGAGGAGTTAAAAAAGACAACTTATTGAGTGGATGGGAGGGGGGGGGAAACAACACACACCCCCCCCCCCTCATAGGGTCTGGGGACATTTACTATTGTGGACTTCACAATACTCCACAGTACACTGTGAGATTGGGATGGGATAGGAAGACCAGGTTTTTGCAGCAGGAGCCAAGGATCAACACTCTGTGTGTAAAATGCTGCCTGCTAATGGTAACCTGTGTCAGAGGGACCCTCAATTTTCACCAGAGGGACATACCTCTGTCAATAAGCACATGGACATGGATTAAAAGACATCTGTGAGGAGGACTAAGAGCCACCTCCCCCTGTGTAGCTTTCCTGCGCTGGACTGTTAGATGCTACCCCCACCCTGGACAAAGCCAATGATAGGTCCTGTGTCCCCCTATGGGGTAGGGTCCATGTGGATGTCTGCAGCTTGGTAACTCTGGAGCCCGAAGTGGTCTGCAACCACCACTCATGGGGCCCCTTACTGCCAGCCAAGGTAGGAATTGCAGTGTCCTCCTCCGCCGTCTCTCTGAGTATCTGACATTGCTGTGCTCCCCGTCACTTCCCATCCACAGGCAGCAGTCACCACGAAGGGTAGGCAAGTCTGTGAGACCCCTATGTCTGCTATTCCAGCCCTGGGCTAGCTTAGCCCACCAGGCAAATGCCAACTGAGCCTGATGGTCCCTCTGTCTCCACCTGCTCTACCCCAATACAAACTACATACTCAGGCTCTAAATGCTGCAACAGACATAGATTGACCATGAAGTGTAAATCTAGAGTTCTGCAGTGTGGAGGGTACTTTGGTAAACATATTTGACTTTGTTTATCCTTGTGAGCAAGCCAGCAGAGATGAAACATGTCAAGGAAGGTTGCGTTTGAGTTGAGATGTTTTTGCATGCAGTTTTTTTGTGGAAAATTATTAAATACAGGAAAGAAGAGCTGAGTTTTGGAGTGCAGCTTACATTTTTTTAGTCCTGTTTTCTACCTCAGCCAATTAGAGAGAGTCTTGTATTCACTGATAAAATACAAGGCTTCCTGTGAATGGTTGAGCAGTGTTCTGCTCAACTTGATTTTGTTCCAGCAGCAGACCGGAAAGTCGCGGGACACATGGCTGCAATACTCAATGTAACTGATGCTACATACAGTTTATACAGTGCCCCACAGTGGCCACAGCAATTAGTTTTCAGGAAATAGTTATTTTGTTACAAGTTGGCACAAACAATGTAAAAGTGAAAGATAAACCTGCATTTGCTTTAAAACAGCACTGTTTGGAAGAAGAATGTGTTCTGCATTTAAGCCTCAAACTGTTCCTGAATCTGATTTCACACAATAAAGTGAATCATTATAAGAAATAAATCCTTTAATTAAAAAAGCTGCCCAATTGTAATAAATGTGGCCACTGTGGGATCCCTATAAACTAATATGTGGATGTGATCCAGCAGCTGATCCTGTCTACAAACCCCTGATGCCTCTATTTAAGATTCATCATAAACCCTTTCCCCACAAACCATGGTGGGGAGACTGGGAGTGGTCACGTCAGCCACTGGGAGGAGTATATATTTTGTTCATCTGACTGCTAACTGATCTCTGTAATGTAGATCAGAAATATGATTTTTATTGTGCAGTCAACATCTAAACAAAACATTTGTTACATGAAAAATAAATCAAAAGACAGTGTGTAAATAACTCAGCTGATCTGCATAGTAGATTTCTGTGAATTCCTGTGCCCCACACATGAGGTCTGGGGACAATGTTTCTATCTCAGGAAGGCTCTCAGGATTAAAGTGTTCTAAAGCCCTTAAAGCGGAGTTCTACTCAAAAGAAGAAACTCTGCTTAGTTGCCTCCTGTTTTTGACATGGTACCTGCTCTCACTTCCGGCTCAGGTTCACCACGGCAAAGTGAGTGAAGTTCGGTCCCCTCCTCCTCCGCAGTCATTCCTGGGAACTTTCACAGGTCCCAGAAGACTACCGGACCAATCTAGGAGCACAGTGCGACTTCGCGTATGCGCAGTGGCACCAGGCTGTGAAGCCGCAAGTTTGTCACAGCCTGGTGCCTACAGTTGAGGTGCCGTTGCGGTGCTGTGAAGGAGAGAAGGGGAGAAGGGACGGCGCAGGTGAAACATCACTGGAACTCTGAGACAGGTAAGTGTGTTTTTAATAAAAGTTCAGCTACATTTTTTGTAGCTGCTGACTTTTAATAAACATAAAATTGCCTGGAACTCCGCTTTAAGGTTTTTTAACCTTAATGCATTCTCTGCATTAAGGTAGAAAAAAAAAAACTCCTGTGTCCAGAATCCCCCTACAGCCACCCCTTATACTTACCTAGGCCCGATCACTGTCCAGTGCTGTGCACGAGAGCAGTGGCTCTCTTCCACCTCACCAGGGCAGATTTGATAGTAGGAGTCGTTGGCTCCTGTTGCTGTCATCAAGGTGAAGCCTTGCTGTCTTTTATTAATGAACACAGGCAGTGGGGCTTGGGAGCGAGCCTGCATGGGTACCCCCCTTAGCAAAATGGCTTTCTATGGAGGTACTTGGCAGGGGGGAGGAGCCAGGAGTGCCAGCAGGGAAACTCAGAAGAGAAGGATTGGGGGCTGCTCTGCACAGAACAGGTAAATACAACATGTTTGTATTAAAATAAAAATATACAGGTTTAGAATCACTTTCACTGTATTCTATACCAGGATGTATCGGAACACTTCAGAACTGGCAATTTGACCACAGACTGAACTCCAGGCACCATATAATAGATATGTGCTGTATAACAGAGAAAGTGTAAAAGTATACACAGTTTTGCGTTTGTTCCAGACACAGAGAAAACGTATAAATGTGTGGCCTAATTATAGAAAGGCACTAGAAGGTGCATTAGAACTGCTGGGAGATGAAGTTCTGCACCCGTGTATTTTTGGTGATTGGGACTGCTGAGACTTCCTTATTAGCTGTGAGTAGGTGTAAACTGGACACCTAGACGCCTCCTCCTTTATGGACCTTTTGCTGCCTGGTGACCTGTGTGCGGACCCAAAGCTATGGCCAGACTGCAGAGGACTACCTTATCCTTTACTTTGAGCCCAGAAAATTGCTTTGTCCGTTCCTTCGACCCTCCATTGCCCTACAAGGGCCTAGTCAACTGAACTACCGGTATCTCTTCATGGACCATGGGAAGCATCCTGTTTTGTGAAGAGTGCAGTGACCCTTGCTTTGTCCTATTATCACCCCTGTGATTTTTCCCTGCTGCAGTGTATCGCTGCCAATGTGATTCTGCTGATCTGTCATTGTTGCACCGGATCACTGTCACTGGACTCTGGACTTACCCCTTTATCTGTACCATATTGCAGCCTTTGTCATCCTTGTTTCCTGGATGTTCAATACGGCTGTCCAGCATCTCCCTGAACCTAATCCCAGCTCCACCTTATTGCTGTCTGTTCACAATATGTTTTTAAGGACTTAACCTTTGCCTAGAGTAGTAATAAATCCTCAGTTTTCTAAACCTCTTAAAGGATAAGTTTGTCTTTTGTAGCATTGTTACTGTTGGATTGCACCCTGATGTGACAGCTAGCGGGGGATCTTCTCTTTCCAATAGCTGTCGCATAAAAAAAAAAAAAAAATACTTCCCGCCCGACTAAAGGCCGCATCACTCAATTCACAGTGTTCTCTGAATGAGAAAAACTACACGTCCCAACAGCGGTTGACAGCTTGTAGTTCTCCGTGAACTACTATGGCACTTTGTGGTAATTCATTCTGTCCTTCCTGTAAGTATTGACTTGCTCATGATGAGGGGAGCAGATACACTGACAGCTCTACAGGTGACCTGCATGGCATCAGCAATCTGCTGATCGCTAGTACAATGCTTTACAGGCTCCTACAACAAAAAAATTTTTTTACTTGCAAAAAGCCAAAAGTCAGGGAACAACAAAATATTTGTGTTCTAGAACGGGATGCTACCCTCTAGTCAGCCCAAGAACAGCATCACAGTCCCTGAAATTGAGAAGCTTTTGCGATGAAGGTACAAGGCGGTGCACCCTCTGGGGGCTGCGGGCCAGCATGCGGTGTGCCACGTTCCACTACAAAAGTAGTGGAGAAGGACAAAACAAAATACAAAAAAACTTGTGAGCTGCTATGCCAAATTCTCCATGCCAAAAATGGGTGATTTTATATATATATATATATATATATATATTATACACACATATAAACATACTCATACAAATGTGCCAATAGTAATACGATATTATAAAATGTGCTGTGCTCCCCTCAAAATTACAACAAACTGAAAACAAGTGCAAAATGATAAATTAATCCAACACAAATATATCAAAATGTCCGTATTAACTGCTTGATTCTCTGCAATCACTGTAGTGCAATATATCAAGTGCTTCTTAATCCCCATCTGGTGTCTGTTATCAATTCAACACTTGTGTTACCCCCACCAGTAGTGCTCTCACCAAACCGTTAAGTGAGGTCATATAAGCCTGTGCTAATGGATCAAAATATGGATGGGATTGGAATCCGACAGATCTAGATCCCCTACACTCACATGTGCAGTTTATAAAAACACTTTATGCAGAATAATTGCCTCCAATATCGCTAGCAATTCTGTCCTGTGTGCAGCCAGCTGGTAACTCATCGACGGATGTGATGTCAGAGCCCCTCCCCTATGCGATACGCCACCGGGTCACGTGGCTTCATCAGGGGGAATGATCCATAGTGGAGAAGGCCACTCTACAGAAAGTGGTAATCAGGAGATTTTCTAGGAACGTGGCTGGGCCCAGGCCTTCAGAGCCCTTTGGGAGGCCAAGAAAGCGGAGGTTACAACATCAGGCCCTGTTTTCCAGATAGTCCTGTTGTTGTAAGGTATTGCATGGCCTCAGAGGTGTGCTGTAGGGGATGGATGGTATCCATGTAATGTGGCCTCTGCCTCAGTGACCCGGTCACAAAGTTTTTGCATATCTTGGTGTATGAACAATGTCTACCTTCACCTCCTCTTGTTTCGTGGTTAAAGTCACCTGGCATGTGGAAATCGCCTCAAGCACTTTTGCAGTGTCAGCCGCAGGAGGGTCTGAGGTAGGAGACCCTGCGGGGGGCCTACTCCTGCCTCCGGATTTCTGCGGAGAGGGCGTAGCGGAGGCAGCTTTTTGAGGGGACAACATGTCAGGAAAGAAGGTCAGAGCTCCAGGTAGTCAAGAGAGCAAGGATAGCGGCAGAAGACACTCAGGATTTCGAAGCAGGATAAAACTGGGAGTGGAGCTCCGTACACGTGCGTCCTACTCCATCGCTGTCCAGTCCACACCCTCAACCAGGTTTCACTTTTAATCAATTTCAGAGAATTGAAAAAAAATGTACCATACAACTATGTATTTTCTAACAGCAAAGATCCCATGAATAGTCAAAAGATTATGTTCCAGTCTACTCCCAAAAAAGATGCAAGACCTGCCATAAGTGCACACAGCCATAACATATACTGTAAATTAAAGGTTTCTACTAAATGTAAAAGGTAAAAAGGAAATAGTCTATTCCTTTACCACTGAAATTAAATTATGCCACTAAAGCTGGCCATATATTATTACACAATTTATTGTACAATTTTCCAAAACCATAGAATATGAGGTCAAACCTAAACACTTTTTTTTATGCAATCAGGCAGGTCCTTGCACTACATATTTGAAAGTAAATCTAAAGGAAAGTAAACAAGAAAATTGTATAATGTATGGCCAACTTAAATCTATTCTATAAACTATTTTTTTTACACTATGACTCCTACATGACAGTTTGCAAGGACTTCCATGAGAATACCTCATTGTTCCCCAAGAGGACAGTGCCGAATGTGTAGACAAAAAAAGAACACGCATGGATATTGAAGGTGGTTTAGGACCCTTGGCATGGGGGTTTTTGTTTAGAAGGTTCTTAAAAGACAAGTTCACCTTTCAACAAAAAATAATAAATGCACAGTTTTTGCAAGTAAAAAAAAAATGCATTTATTATTTTTTGCTGTAGGAGCCTGTAAAGCATTGCACTAGCGATCAGCAGATTGCTGATGCCATGCAGGTCACCTGTAGAGCTGTCAGTGTATCTGCTCCCTCATATGAGCAAGTCAATACTTACTGACAGGAAGACAGAATGAATTACCACAAAGTGCCATAGTAGTTCACGGAGAACTACAAGCTGTCAACCGCTGTTGGGACGTGTAGTTTCTCATTCAGAGAACACTGTGAATGAGTGATGCGGCCGGGGTGGAAGTATTTTTTTTTTTTTTGTGACAGCTATTGGAGAGAGAAGATCCCCGCTAGCTGTCACATCAGGGTGCAATCCAACAGTAACATGCTACAAAAGACAAACTTATCCTTTAAGAGGCTGAGGATTTATTACTACTCTAGGCAAAGGTTAAGTCCATATTGTGAACAGAAGCAATAAGGTGGAGCTGGGATTAGGTTCAGGGAGATGCTGGACAGCCGTATTGAACATCCAGGAACAAGGATGACAAAGGCTGCAATATGGTACAGATAAAGGGGTAAGTCCAGAGTCCAGTGACAGTGATCCGGTGCAACAATGACAGATCAGCAGAATCACATTGGCAGCGATACACTGCAGCAGGGAAAATCACAGGGGTGATAATAGGACAAAGCAAGGGGTCACTGCACTCTTCACAAAACAGGATGCTTCCCATGGTCCATGAAGTGATACCGGTAGTTCAGTTGACTAGGCCATTGTAGGGCAATGGAGGGGAGGACGGACAAAGCATTTTCTGGGCTCAAAGTAAAGGATAAGGTAGTCCTCTGCAGTCTGGCCATAGCTTTGGGTCCGCACAGGTCACAGGCAGCAAAAGGTCCATAAAGGAGGAGGCGTCTAGGTGTCCAGTTACCTACTCACAGCTAATAAGGAAGTCTCAGCAGTCCCAATCACCAAAAATACACACGGGTGCAGAACTTCATCTCCCAGCAGTTCTAATGCACCTTCTAGTGCCTTTCTATAATTAGGCCACACATTTATACGTTTTCTCTGTGTCTGGAACAAACGCAAACTGTGTATACTTTTACACTTTTCTCTGTTATACAGCACATATCTATCTATTATATGGTGCCTGGAGTTCAGTCTGTGGTCAAATTGCCAGTTCTGAAGTGTTCCGGTACATTCTGGTATAGAATACAGTGAAAGTGATTCTAAACCTGTATATTTTTATTTTAATTAGAAACATGTTGTATTTACCTGTTCTGTGCAGAGCAGCCCCAATCCTTCTCTTCTGAGTTTCCCTGCTGGCACTCCTGGCTCCTCCCCCCTGCCAAGTACCTCCATAGAAAGCCATTTGCTAAGGGGGGTACCCATGCAGGCTCGCTCCCAAGCCCCACTGCCTGTGTTCATTAATAAAGACAGCAAGGCTTCACCTTGATGACAGCAACAGGAGCCAACGACTCCTACTATCAATCTGCCCTGTGAGGTGGAAGAGAGCCACTGCTCTCGTGCACAGCACTGGACAGCACTGGACTTTTCGCTGAGGTCCTGAATGGTGCCTTCGCATTAAACATCTAAATATGCCATGCTGTTCCCAACCTGCCTTCAGGCGGTCGGTGAAGATTGGGTGCATTTCCTTAAAGTTCCGGAGATGACCTTGGCCTGACTTGATCAACCTGACCGCAGTCACCCTGACTGATCCTATCGTCCACTCGTGGAGGTCGTGAGTAAGATCTCCACCATACCAGTTGGCTAATAGGAGATTCTTCTTTTCGGATATCCCCCTCTGGAATCTCCCTCTCGTACATCTCATTGGCATTTTTATACCGCCTGATATGAGTGCTGAGGATTTCATTGCATTCCTCTTTTGCTTTTCCATTATTCCCCCTCCCTCCTTTTTTTCCTTTTTTTTCTTTCTTTTGATACCACATTTTCTTTTCGGTACCGGAACCTGCCAGCCTGTTCTGATGACTTAGACACCTCAGTACTCTTACCCCCTGAATATCCTTACACCCTTACTTCAGATATCCAAAACCTGAGAACAGAGTGGAGCCCCTCCTTTTTCTCCAACAAGGGGATTTTGATTTTACATAGTTTTCATCACTGAGAGTATGCTCAAGAACCCAGCTGGCTTTCTCTACGACCTACCCCAAGCTGGCTGACACACCATGTGTCTTGCTATTCGGTCACCACTCCAAGTGTTTGTCCCCATAAGACTATGTTTTTTGGTTGATTGTTATGGGTTTTATGCCCCAACCATGCTGGAAAGGTGGAGGGCAGGGTGGGGGAAATGGAATTTTACCGGTCACAGTTTGCATATGTCTATATTCATGGTACATTGCTAATGCAGTACATATGCACTACACTAATCCTTGTTTCCTAAGTACTGGATGCTGTTTACGATGTCTCAGACATGGCGGTTGCACTATTGGTTCTCCTTAGGCCCATGTTTATCTTAGCCATATGGTTCCTGTAAAGTTTCTCACTTGGAACGTCTGCAGGATTCAAGATAAAATTAAAGCGGAGTTCCAGTCCCCAGAAGAAATTTATTTTTTTTAAAAGTTGACCCAGTATTGCCTTTTGGAGAACATTAACAGTTGGATAAAGTTGTAAGTTATAGCCTTCTAATTTGTTTTAAATATGTAATCTTTACCTTGATCTCGGAAGCAGGCAGGCGCCATGATGGCTGTGGGCATCTGAAGCCCGCAATGCTTTGAAGCGCCCATGGATAGACTGGGTCTATCATGCCAAGCACACCCACGTATTCCTGTGGTGTTTCAGTTTTAGTGACCTAAACGGTACAATTGGAACTGATGTTGCTTGGCTCAGACCCACATGGCAAATACATCATTATGTACGTGACTCTGTATCGGTACCCTTGCCTATTCCTGGCTTACACTATCCCACCCCCTTATAATTTTGTGGTGGTCAGTGAGGGCTTTCTTTTCATGGCACAGTACCTGCCATATGACTGGGGGACTTCAATATGGTATTAAATACTATCCTAGACCATCTCCACGTAGCTGCAGACCCCCCCCCCCCCCACTGTGACAACAACCAGACTCAGTCTCTTGTTTGCTGATTTTGCTCTGATAGATACGTGGCGAAATAAATATCCCCACGCAGAGGCGTTCTGTTGTTTTTCCGGACACATTCCACTATGCCCCATATAGACTTTATAGTCATGTCTACAACCTTGCTACCTCTTATTGAGGATACATATTGGCTATTGGCCACACACACATCATCGAAACCAAATGTCTGATCAATCTGTATCTAAATATAAATTAGTCCTTGTTTTAAGAGTTGTAGCTGAAAATCTCAAAATAAAGTGCCATTTTTATTTTCAGAAAGTCAACACCAATTCAGAGGTTAATAATACAGATCTTAATGCAAAGAATAGGAGGCGATGGGGGCATATTACAAAAACACTTAAGGTATCTGATGAGTTGGATGACTTTGAAGATCTTGATGTGCATTGTTCAGTCACTAAAACTGAATTAAAGAATGAAAAACGGAGACCAAGTGAGGTTGATCTTTGTAGGTAAGCTAAATTTTTCTTCTTGTTAATTGCAAATTGGCACAGTTGGACAGAAGAAGTTATATGCTGTTTTCTGCTGCGAGAAATACATGTAGTATTTTTTTTTAGTCATTCTAACTGTAGATATTTTGCACTGTTTCTGGCAAAGGTGTAATTTAAGACAAACACCTTTAAAGGGAAAGTATAATGTATTTTTTCTGTAAGCGCATATTTTGTGTTCTCATTAAAATGTTTCACTTTTAGGGCGCTTTCACATTGATGCAGTGTGCTTTTCCCCGCACCACAGGTGCAATGCAGTGTACTCGCGGGTTACCTGCTCTGTGCTATAGACGACTTCTACATCGGGCTGTTTTGATGTGTTTTCTGCGCTGCAGCCACGTTGTGGGAAAACTGCCCCGCATCAGTGTTAAAGCGCCCTTAACGTATTCATAGCCCAGACAATGTTAAATGAAGTATCTGTATATTATTATAAAGCAGCAAAAGAGCTTTAAAAAGCCATGATTGACCTCTGTAGCTTTTGTAACTCATTCTCAAATATCACAGCAAATACTAAAATCAAGTTTCGAGCTAGGTTCACACCTAACTGCTGAGGTTCAGTGCGCTAAAGCATGGACATTTTTTCACATGTTTTATTCAAAATGAATGGGCTGGCATGTACCTCAGAAGCCCAGAAATCAGACTTGCACCTTTTTAACAATGCAGCATACTTCAGTGCATGTTAGTGTGCAGCATATCTCCGTTGGAGAGGTGCATTGGGGTACCAATCAGAATGAGTGGCACCATTGCAGGAAGTATGTGGCACTTCGTGTTGCGGTAACACACGCAGGAACATGCACTTTTCCACAACACAGTAGTGTGGACAGAGCCTTATGCTAGGTACACCGTGCCGAGTATTGGCTGAAATCAACCAGTACAGTAGAAACCGGTCAAATTACAGCCTGTGTGTACAGCTCCTTGTCTGACTGAAGCCAGTCGTGAGACCAGCTTCTGTCAAATAAGGGTGCTGAAAAACCAGCTTCTGATCAGTAGCAGATTAGCACTCCTATCCAATGGCTACAAGTGCTGAGCTGTGTGTGTTCTGGAGGGATGGGGGGGGGGGGCGCTTTGGAGGAAAGATGAATAGTTAGCATGCAAAGCAGTTGGGTGCCAACAGCACTGGGGCACCATCAGTTTTCATGCAATCGATATAGAGTCGTTGGCCTGAACCTAAACCAGCAGAATGAACCGGTAATTAGAATACAACAGTAGATGCAATGAAACATAAAATAACATGGAAGGATGTTAACTATTTATTTTTAACCATGCAAAGACTTAAAGACACAATTTTTTGTGAAGATCTTTTTATTAGATGTGTATTTTCTGCACATTTTAGCTGGGGGTGCTGGAATTTTACAGTTGTTTGGTTGATAATTTTTTTCATTGTCTTCCAAATGCAGTTTTGAAAGCATTTTGGACTTGAAGCGAGAAGACATTGATAGACCTGTGCAGTCCTCATTCTCTAGACAGGACACTACAGCATCCAGAAGAATGTCTGCAAAACAGCATTATTTGAAACATACCAGATATTTGCCAGGTAAGTTTTTTATATTCATTTATTTTTTTATTTATGGAGATGGAACTATTTAAACTAATTAGGTTTAACTTTTGCAGAAGATTAACCTTTTTTCTTTATTTCAAATTCATCAAATCCAAAATGTAAAAAAAAATATAAAAAAAAATAAAAAGATATATGAGTAGTGTGCTTTTTGCATCAATTTTCACCTAGTGTCAGGTTCCCACAGAGACGTGAGTGAAAGCGTTCTGAGCATCAGTTTTCTCACATAATGGCCTCTGCATAACTGAGATTAATAACAAGATCTGGCTGTCAGGCAAAATGTGAACCTAGGAATGGAGGCCTTCTCACCCAAAGCTCTGTAAGGCTTCCAAGCTCCAGAACCCAGAACTGTATTTATTAAAATTCTGGGGAAAAATGAGTTATTCTCTACATTGGCCTTAAACTTTCATCATGTATATGTGAGAAGCCTAGGTGATGCATACACACCATGCACAATTTTGCCAGCTAGTGCCTTACATACCCTCCCTTTCAACTGTGGGAAGGAGCACATGTTGCCAACATACAGTATAGTAGATGTGACAGTCCATCACTATTCTATGTTTGGTCCCTGTCCTTTGTTCTACATGAAAATTAAACTCTTGTAGGCCCTTGCACTCACTATTCCCTTTGTCATGAGCATCCACTGTAGAAGTAAGGTGGGCTGTAATCAACTATTGGAACTATCTGCCCAAAAGGTAATATTATCTCAATGATTCTGGTGTTCACTTTATGGCCAGATGCTCCCTTTTCTCTGTTGAATAGTTCCTCTCTGCAGGGGTTAGTTTTCAGACAAGGAATGCTATTGAATGTTTTTTTCCTTGTCACATTTCCTGTGCCAGGACTGCTCCTAGGCCAGCATAAAGATATTGGCACAAGAACTTCTTGACAGGAGTTAAAGGGGGTCAGCCTTGGTTTCTTACATAATACTACCTTGAGCTTTTGAAAAACTCTCTCTGCATCTTCATTCCATTTCAAAATGGTGGTATCGATGGTCGTAAGATCTGTACATGGAACTTCTGTAGAAACAAAGTTACACACAAATCTCAGGTAGCAAACTACATTTCCTAGAAAGGCTTTTACCTGTCTTTTTTTTTTTTTTTTTTTTTCTTATTTCTACACTTACTGGGGCCAACTTTTAATTGCTTCAGTATTGTTTATTAGAGTTTTTTTACTCTCACCCAATGCTGTAGCTCAGATCCTGGGATTCTATAATTGGCAAATCTCACTCAAGACTAAAAAAATTACATCATCTCGATATGCTGAAATATATCCTTTCTAAGGCTTAATAATGTGTCCATAATTCTTTGAAATGAGGCTGGGGGGCCCATATAAACCAACAGGATGGACCATATACTGGTACAGCCCATCTGGTGCCGTAAAAGCTGTGTTCTTTCTTGCCTTGGCTGTTAAAGGAACCTACTAATGCCCTTTAGCAAGACCAAGGGTGGTAACATACCTGGTAGGACCCAACCTTTCAATCAATTTATTCACCCATGGGCATCAAATTTGGCTATTACGTTTAATTTCCTGAAGCAGTTGAAGAACAGGCTGCCAGGCTTAAGGTTGAGCACTATAGGATTTTATCACTTGCTGTTAGATTTCTGTATACCCCAAGGGGTAACCTTTTCTGTGCATCATCCTTTATCTCTGAGCTTCAGGTATCTGATAGGCCTCTTTCACATGGGCGTCATCCGCTCAGTCACGTTTTTTTTTTTTCAAGCAAAAAATGGATTCAGTTTACTTTGGTTTACATCAGTTTGCACTTCAGTTCAATTCCGTTTATATCATTCCGTTTACATTAGTTCACATCAGTCTACATCTGTTTTTGCATCCATTTTTTAGTTGCACAGACCAGTCAGAGGTGACAAAAGTAAAAGCAAAAAATGTTTTTGGCTAAAAACAGACATGAAGAAATGGATGTAAACAGATGACATCCATTTTACATCCTTTCTGTTCCATTTCAACGGATTGGGTCATTGGCTGTTCCATTTTAAAAAAATGACCTGAACGGACAAGGATGTATGCGGATGTGATGTATGCTCATCCGTTTTACATCCACCAACCCATAAACATACATTGTGTCTCAGTCTGGATCCATCTGAAAAACTGACAGACGGATCTAGACTGAATGAATGCCTGTGTGAAAGGGGCCATAAGTTCTTAACTTCACTTAAATGTGAACTTGAGTCTAAATGGTTTGGTGAATTACATTAATTTGACCAGCTAGTTCTGAAAACAACTTTTGTTTTTCTCCAAGAATTCTCTCACTTCCTTCTAATCTGAATAGCAGATGGGGTTTCTGACATCCTAACCTCTGGTGTACCTTTTGCTGGTGATACTTTAAGGTCACTCTCTGCTGAGACAGATTCCAAAGCCTACCAGGCTTTTATTAGGCCAGCTGTCAGCATAGTATATTTGAAGGTACGTTCCTCTGGGCTGGTATACTAGGTAGTTGATGTCACTGATTTTCTCTCTGATCTCATAGGAACCTTGCCCTTTAGTCAGAAATTTACTTTCTAAAATGGGCACCAAAACTAAGACCCTGTTTCCCAGTTAAAGGTACTGATTTTAGGAGAGCAGTTATAAACTCTGGCTTGTGCCTTTTGGCTTTGCTGTACAAGTTCCTGAACTATGGGCATGACTGTTCAATTACACACTTTTGAAGTCTGGCAGTTTCCCCCCACCGCTATATTCAGGAGTTCCCAGGATGTCTATAATGCAAAAATTAAAAAGGGAAAAATGCTGTGGATAGCCATGTCATTTCCCATACTAAAAACATTAAGGGGTTGATTTACTAAAATTGCAGAGTGCAAAATCTGGTGCAGCTCTGCACAGAAACCAATCAAATTCCAGGTGTTTTTTGTAAAAGCTTAATTGAACAAGCTGAAGTTAGAAGCTGATTGGCTACCATTCACAGCTGCATCAGATTTTGCACGCTCCAGTTTTAGTATATCAACCCCTGAGTGTGGTAATAGGAAGTCCCAGCCTTTTCCATCCTTACCAGCCACTTTTTTAGCATACCTTTTTGGGTTCTGTTAGGTATGACATTCTACCATCCAGTCTTTTTGGGGTTTTTTAAATTGAGTTGTGTTGGTCCATAATTTTCAACAACCGACACAGCTCTTTAGTTACCTTTTGACATGAAAGGTGTTCCTCGGTCTGTCAATTTTTTTTTTTTTTTTTTTTTTTTTTAGGAATACAGATAAGGAAAAAGATTTGGAACAGTTCTCTCGTACAGTGCATCCAGAAAGTATTCACTTCTACAAACAATACCCCATAATGACAACGTGAAAGAAGTTCGTTTTGAAATCTTTGCAATTTATTAAAGATAAAAAACTAAAAAAAATCACATGTACATCAGTATTCACAGCCTTTGCTCAATACTTTGTTGAAGCAACTTTAGCACCAATTACAGCCTCAAGTCGTTTTGAGTATGATGCTACAAGCTTGGCACACCTATTTTTGGGCAATTTCTCCCATTCTTCTTTGCAGTACTTCTGAAGCTCCATCAGGTTGGATGGGGAGCGTCGGTGCACAGCCATTTTTAGATCTCTCCAGAGATGTTCAATCAGGTTCAAGTCTGTGCTCTGGCTGGGCCACTGCAGGACATTCACAGAGTTGGCCCGTAGTCACTCCTTTGTTATGTGGGCTGTGTGTTTAGGGTTGTTGTCCTGTTGTAAGATGAACCGTTGCCCCAGTCTAAGGTTCAGAGCGCTCTGGAACAGGTTTTCATCAAGGATGTCTCTGTACATTGCTGCATTCATTTTTCCTTCGATCCTGACTAGTCTCCCAGTTCCTGCTGCTAAAAAATTATCCCCACAGCATGATGCTGCCGCCACCATGCTTCACTGTAGGGATGGTATTGGCCAGGTGGTGAGTGGTGCCTGCTTCCCTCCAGACATGACACTTGACATTCAGGCCTGACATTCATGGTCTGAGAGTCCCTCAGGTGCCTTTTGGCAAACTCCAGACGGACTGCCATTTGCCTTTTTTTGAGGAGTGGCTTCCATCTGGCCACTCTACCATACAGGCCTGATTGGTGGAGTGCTGCAGAGATGGTTGTTCTTCCGGAAGGTTCTCCTCCCTCCACAAAGAAATGCTAGAGCTCTTTTAGAGTGACCATCAGGTGCTTGGTTACCTCCCTAGCTAAGACCCTTTTCCCTCGATCTCTCATTTTGGCTGGGTGGCCCACTCTAGGATGATTCCTTGTGGTTCCAAACCTCTTCCATTTACGCACAATGGAAGCCACTGTGCTCATTTGGACCTTCAATGCTGCAGAAATTTTTCTGTACCCTTCTCCAGATCTGTGCCTTAATACAATCCTTTCTCCAGAGGTCTATGGACAATTCCTTGGAGTTCATGGCTTGGTGTGTGCTCTGACATGCACTGTTACTGTGGGACCTTTATATAGACAGGTTTATGCCTTTCCTAATCATGTCCAATCAACTGAACCTCCCGCAGGTAGACTCCGATCAAGTTTTGGAAACATCTCAAGGATGATCAGTGAGAACAGGATGCACCAGAGCTCAATTTTGAGTGTCATGGCAAAGGCTGAGAATACTTATGTTTTTTATTTTTAATACATTGCAAAGAATTAAAAACAAACTTCTTTCACGTTATCATGTTGTCCTTATGGAGTATTGTTTGTAGAATGTTGAGGAAGAAAATGAATTTAATCTATTTTGGAATAAGGCTGTACCATAACAAAATGTGGCAAAAGTTAAGAACTGTGAATACTTTCTGGATGCACTGTACTAACCTTTACAGGATGTGTTTCTAATAGGGATTTCTTCTGGATAACGGGTGGCGTGGTCATTGACAACTAATTTGCACTGGTGCCCCTTGGTGGACTTTGCCAGTGGTCCCACCAGATCCATAGCAACCCTCTCAAAAGAGAACTCCTTTATAGGCAAGGGTACAAGCAGACATTAAAAATGTGGTTGGGGTGTATTTAATTAAACAATAAGGGCAAGATTTAC